AAAACAAGTAAGCACATGTTAACACCCCCAAAATAGTAGAATATAGTCCTTGGTGAAAAAATTTATTTGTGGCCTGTTGTTGAAGGACATATGTACATATGTATGCATGTATATATGGATGTGTAGACATGGGAAAATTTGCGTAAACAAAGAATAGAGACCGGTTCGCATACAACTTTGGCGTTGCGTTGGCGTCGCGTTTGGCAACGCTAAAGCCAACACAAAGCAGAAAGATCGCTGCGTCGGTCGCCAGCTGTTGCAAATAAATAAAATTAAATGGAATGTTTTTTTTTTAATCAAATTAAGGTAAGAAATATAATATTTCATGCAATTATTGATATGAAATATTAATTTATCTCTCGTTAATATGTTAATTTAGTGCCCAAGGTAGTCTCTGCCAAGCTTCATTGTAGAACGCATACTTTTAACTTGCGTTCTGTCAAACCAACGCCAACTACAAAGTCAACGCGAAAGTTCTATGTGGACCAACCTTAATTATCAAATAGTAGCTTGTATTATCCTACATACATACATATGTATGGGGGCTAAACCACAAATATTCATTTGAAAATGCTGATGTCCTACTCATTTATGAAATGAAAGACAAAATAATGATTTTAATATATATTATATTCTCATTTATACATATGTAACATAGTTACTTAGTCAAATTACTTAGTAATTACTTGTATGTAAGAATACAAAGATTATTTATCAGCAGCATTGCCCCTTACATATTGAAAAAAAGTAATAAAAGCTCCCAAAAAAGCAAAATCGCTACAGCAAAAAAAGTGTTTGAAAAACCGCATAAATTCAAATCCGCATAAAAAAGAACCGCATAAAAAGAGACCTAAGTGTATAAGTTGAAATTTTATAAGAAACTATTGAACATTAAAAACATTATACCTACATAAATATGTATGCACATATGTGCCTACCTAGTAGATAAAACTGGTCAAAATAGCACGAATCTATTCTTCTGAGCATGAGAATATATACATAAATAAATACAAAAACATATGTGTATATACATATGTATGTATATACATATCTGCATGCGTGCATACAATCCTTTACTCGAAATTCTTAGTTGCTGCAATTTTTATCCCATACACTTCTGCCGACCAAACAACGCGTTTGCCTGTCTAATCTGCTTGCCTCATTTGCCTCGCTCGTTTGCTCGCCTCATTTGCCTCGCTCGTTTACTCGCCTCGCTCGTCTGCTGCTGCAAATGAGTGCCTCGCTCGCAACGACGCCCTCGCGAGGGCAGAGCTAATGAGGCCCTCGTTTGCTTGCCGCTCTACTCTTGCGCTGCCCTCGTTTGCTTACTCGCTCGCTGGCTGCTCAGCGCGTGCGCTCGTACTTAACGAATGCTCGTTTGCAAACAGCCTCGCGTGTTGCTCGTGAGTTGCGCTAGCTCGGAGTAAACTAACGAGCGAGCGAGGGGCTAAAATGAGGCAAATCCGAACCCTGGCATCAACAACAGCGCCAGCAGCAGTGATAACAGAGCTGTTAACATTAGCTTTAATTGAGTTAGTACCGGCAGCAGCAGCAGCATAGCTAACATTGGTATTGATCGCCATGCGCTTAGCAGACCCATTGGGGAGCAGACCAGCATTCGATACCGTGCACTTAGTAGACGGAGCAGATGAGGGAGTTTCCGTTGGTGTAGGTAAACACTGTTCAGCATGAGCAGCAGTAACATTAGTCCCATGCAGAGAGCCGGCGGATTTGTTAACAGCAATACCGCGGTTTGCATTGAGGCCAGTAAAGTTGTCAACAATGCCCCGAAGGCTTTTTATCTCCGCAGTCAACGACGATACGTCGGCATCCCTGTCGCTTAGCTTAGTTTGCAAAACACGAACTTCTACATGCAAATCATCACTTTTCTTTATTAGCTGCATTTTGTCTTCATGCAAAGCACCTATCAAACACAAGATATGAGCATTTTCTGCCCTGAGAGCAGAAAGTTCTTTAACCACAGTTAGCAGTGTAGATTTCAATTGAAAGTCATGCTCAGTAGCGATATCACTTGAGACATCTCTTAGAGAGTCTGAATTAAGAGCTTCTTTAGCACTAGTGCTCCCACCCGAGCCAACGGGTGTGGAAGGGCAGCGGAGAGATGAACGACGGTCATCCGTACAGTTTTTGCAAAGAAATGGCTTATTAGATGAGAGTAAAAAGTCCAGATCGGCCTGGAAAATACCAACACATTTGAGGTGAAATAAGTTTTTACACCCGTCACACTGCACTTTAGATTGTGTACGATCAACTTTTTGACCACAAAGACAAGGCATTGTATGAATATTTTTACATTTAATAAATATTGAGTCAGTGAAATTCAAATTATTAAGAGTCACTATCTCAGTATATTATGAGTTTCGCACTAACAAAGCGAATTAAAATTCACAAAGAATGCTTAAAAAGCCAGATAAGCGCGGAGCGAAGAAAAACACGTCTGAACTGCAGTCGCGCAAAACTGTAATTTTTGTTTTAGTTAAACAATATAAGAATATTGTAGTATGTACCACAAAAACGTATATTTTCTATAAAATATCATAACTCAGAAAAAAAATCTTCGCTATTAGAGATTTGGGTTGATTGTAGTTCAAAGTATCTCTTTCCCGGTAAAAAAGTTTCAGAGAAAAAAAATACACTTTTTGAGAAATTAAATTTAAAAAAAAATATGCACTTTTTGTTTATTGTTAAATAAAAAATTTTAAATAATGAAAATCAATAATTATATCATTCTATCTTGAAGTGACAAGAATTACTGACATTTGAGTAAAAACATTGTTGGAATCTATTAACTTTTGACAAAGTTATGGGCATTTTAAAAAAACATTCCCACTGTCAATTCGAATAATCGATTTTTGCCTGAAAAACAAAATCGCGTTTAATTCGGCCGAAAATTTTTTCCGAGCCAAAAAAAAAGTACGTGTCTCATTATTTGGACCAACAAACAATGTATTTGAGTTTTGTCGAAATTAATAATCATGCACGTACCTGACCGGTTGTCTGGAAATGGAAAGCATCTTTTGTTTTTATACAAAAAAATAGTACATATTAAAACTCTTTTGATAAGAGAAAAGCAAAAAAGAAATATTTGGAGACCGATAGAAAAAATAAGATACTTAGAAGTTTTGTTTACATATCTGTACATAAAATACCTTCCACTTTTTCTACTTCCCAGAAAATATATTATACAAATCTTTGGTGTAAAAAATTGATTCGCTTAAGTAAATATACATACATAATCACAAAATTAAAAATATGTACATATGTATACATACAATAAAAGTTGACTTTATTTCCGTGGGACGTGTCCCGTCGTGCCGGGCCGGGCCGGGCCCCACTAAAATTCTTAACCTGCGGGCTCGTGTGTGTTTTTGAAAGTTAATTTTGCACTCGTGCCGGGCCGGGCCTTAAAATTTAGGCCCGTGCCCATGTCTACTTTCTAGTACGGCACAAGGCAAACTATGTTTGCAACAGAAATATATACATATAGAAATATATTGGGCGCGACTTGTATCAACTCACGTCGAGCGCACGTTTAGTACATTCAGGACTTATTTTCGATAAAACTGAATAAAAATGCTGCCAGAAATCTTTAAAATGTATTTTGTGGTTCAATGTTATCACAACTATAGAGATTATAGTTTTGTGAGTTAAAAACTCGAAAGGAGGAATTAGTCCAAGATTCAAAGTATAAATTTTTCATATAATGAAACTAGTTCATAGTTTTTCTATTTTTACTAAAATAAAAATTTCTGAAATAAATATATGTTTTGATTATTTTTCGGTTTTGGTCTTTTTTAGTGCCTTCTTTTGCCTTTTTTGCGATTTCTAGTGCCTTTTCCTGCCTATTTCGCTATTCTATTTTTCCTTCTCTAGCCTATTTCGTTATTTTATTTTCCCTTTTTCATAGATTTTTAGGTCCTAAAAATCCTTTCCCTGCTTATAACTAATCTGAGCATTACTTCGTGGAAATGGATCACCTTTGTTAAAATATGGTTCGTAGTCGGGCCTTTAAAGCAAATCCCTTATTTCTCATTTGCCCCGTTACATTTTTGTAAAACCCATATTTTTGGGACAAATTATGCATTTGTCCTGTATGGCTGGAAAAAATATCTGGGAACACTAATGTGTATAGCTCCTAAATTGCTTTTCCAGTTAGATAATCTTGTTGACGAGTATGATAGAAAATTTAATAACCTTTGTTTAATACAAAAAGAAATTTAAGATTGGTCAACTGCATCCAAATAAAATTGCAATTAAGTGAGTGCACTTTTTTCAGATCTCAAAAACGCGAATTTTGGCTAAATCTCAAAAACAATTTTACTTTTTTGTTTTCCGATTTCGTATTCAAAATGTTGAGGCTGGCTAACTATATCTAAAAAATTTTAATTAAGCGGGTGCACTTTTTCAGATCTTTAAAACCCCGAAGTACGGCTATATCTCAAAAACTGATCTACTCTCTTACATTTTAATTTCGTACTCAGAGTCAGGCGAAATTTTACGTAAACTAAGCTATCGAAATAAGCCATTTTGCAAAAAAAAAACCAAAATGGTACATTGTTTAAAAATGCAAATACAATTTTTTTGTGTTGCAAATTTTTTGCAAAAAATTATAGCTTCCACCAAAAAGCATGGAAAAAGTTCTAATAGGTCAGCAATTTTTGATTCTCTATCATAAGCATGACATAAGATCAGAATTTTAAGAAAAGTTGTGACTTTAAGAAAAAGGCTTAAATTTGCAATTTTAAACTCGTATAACTCGACAAAAAACTGCGGTCGAAAAAAATTCTTTAGCACATTGGTTACCAGTACCATAGCAGCATCGTGGTGGAGTTTGAACAAAATGCTGCCATAAAATGTTTTCCTGGTACACTTGACGAATTTTGCCCCATAAATAAAAAATTATTTAAGTGGCATTTAGTAATGTTAATAAACTGTTTTTGAATTGGAAAAGCTAAACCCTCATTTTTTTCCATATTTAGTCATTCGCGCTGCTGGTACATTTTATCCAACGTCCACTGAAATACGAGTATCTGACAATAACGAGGCGGAAAGCTTTAGCTGCAACCAACAAGCAACTGGTCTTGCTACCTGGCCTTTAATGGACTCTGATAAAAATTATGTAAGCAAGCTCACACTGGTCGAGAGCAAGGAATTCCCAGACGAATTTCTTCCAACATATGGCAGTAGTGACGACATCTGCATGCCACAAGATCTAAGTTTACACGCCAAGAATGAGTTTTCTATTCGTGAAGTTTGCAAGAACGAATACTCGAATATCCATACCGCTGCTGGAATTTGTAGGCATAAAGCTGACTCCAATGAAATATCAACACAAGATAACATCGGCGTTCTCGAAAGCGCAGACGTTGTCAATCAATTTAAACACTTCCTAAACCTCTACCAGCTTCAGCTGCAGAAGCTGAAACAGCATCAACGTAGTCCAGTATGCAATAGTAGTCCGACAGCAACGCCGGTAGTTAACAACATGATGCCGTACTTATCCTTTCTGCTGGCAGCATCCTCTATCTCCCTACTGCAATCCCCCCAATTACATTGCGCCAACTTTGCAGCTGCCGACGTCGACTACGCTGCCATCGCAGCGTTATCAACTGCGTCCGCCCGCGCGGACGTAAATCATACACGACATTCAAATGAACCAACGTCCACTGACAGAGGAGTTTTGACCAGTGAGGGCTTATTGCCAACGGCGCTACGGCCCAAAGGCGAACGCAGCACACCCAACGGTTATATTAAGTATCGCTTCAGCGAGGATTGTGGCTTTGAGAAATGCGGCTACCGTCAACGACAGTCCCACTTTCATTGCAGTCGTGTGGACTGCTACTACAGCTTCTGTGACAAGACGCGTTTCGTGCAGCATACAGCGCGTCATGACCGTCTCGACACCTTAATGGGCAACGATTTTCAACAGTTTCGCGCAAATATGCAATGTGCGTACACAGACTGCGCCTATCAGCTTAACGCTAAATCCGTGCCGACAAAGAGCTCGAAATGCAGTGTTGCAAAAAAGTCGTCCCATTTTCATTGCTTGAAGTGCGTCTTTACTTGCTCGGACACCAACAAAGTGGTGGCGCATCGACGGCACCACAGCAAAGTGGAGTACATACGTTTGGCAGGCTTTTCCAAAGTGCTTAGTGTGGAAAACTGTTACCACCTCCCGAACGAGGTACGAAGCGGAAGAAACGGCACTGGCCTTACAACGTCGAAGACCGCCCCTGTGGAGTATTCGCGGACCGGTGACGAGTTTCCGGCCGCGACCAATTCCTGCGCATACAACTTGAAACAGACACACTATCATTGCCTCTTATGCGGCTGCGGCATCTTGTCACGTACGCAACTGGCGGCGCATAGGCAAAAATCCTGCAACACCGCACTCAATAAAACAGCGGCGGTAGCGCATACAGGGACAGCGGATGGAGCAACAACCACACCGTGAATAATGGCAGCTCCAACTAATGATGAGAGTTTGCGCTACGGCCATTGAACCACCGAGTAAAGGTTAAATTAGTGGTGACATACCATAACGCTATAGCCATAACCATTGCCATAACCGTAACCGCATTTTCTTTCAAGCGTTTATACCTGTGTCATTACAGCGCACTCGCTGAAACCGTTCACAAAAGTATGAGGGATGTCGGAAAAACATCGATGCATCGAAAATATAGATGTTTTGCTTCGATGGATCGAAAATTGTTCACTCGATGTATAAATAGTCGATGTATCGATGCATCGATCCCTAAAAAGTTTACAAAATTTGTTGTTTTATTTCGACATGTCTTTAATAATTGATTTGCGCGATTGACCTAACTGTAAGCGAACAGTGATTCAAATTTATTTTAATAATAATTCAAATTTGAAACGGGCTGTATAAATAAAACCAGCCTATTTTCACTTCGCGCGAAATGTATGAAATGAAAAACCGATTTGAAATGAAGTTCGAATCAATACACTTTTGAAATTCAGAGCGTATTGAAATTTGGTTTATGCATCCGTTTTGAATCACAGCGAACTGGATCAAAGCGCTGCATGTGTCGGTATAAACAAGGTATATCATCGATTATATACCTTGTTTATAACTACGAAAAAACCGTTTTAACAAAAAACCGGTTTGATTCAACACATATTTCTTTCTAACGTTTATTCCTCAGTCTTTATATCGCACTCGATTAAACCGTATTGAAAAGTAGAAAAACTCCGTTAGGTTTATTCGATATTTATTTAATAATAAAATTGAGCGGTGGACCGAAATGGAAGCGAACAGCAATACAAATTTATTTTAATAACTAGCAAATGCCTGGCTTGCTTCGCCACGCTTTATAAAAACCTTTGCGTTGAAGAAACTTGCGTTTTGGTACGCATGCCATCGAATTGGTTGTTTTGCGTCACCCGAAATTGGCTTGTTGTATGTGCATGAGATTTTTGACAGTAAATTGGAGGCGTGCGTGAATATTAGGTAAGCCTGTCAAAAAGTCGAGTTTTTTTAATATCTACTTTAGAAGCTCTTGCAAAAAAACAAAAGGTGATAGAACCTTTGTGGCTTAAATTAAAGCTAGAACTCTCGACTATTATCTCTGAAAATACCATTCCTGTACCTTGACTTGATGGTCACTTAGCCATTTGTTTTTATTATTTTTTATTTTGAGGAACAAGTTAAATAAACTTTTTGAGCATATATTATAGGCCTCAAAAGGAAGTACCATTTACATAAGTTATTGTGGTACACCAACTGTACATTGAATTCTTGCACAACATATATCTTTCTCATGATTCCAGAAAATTATAAAAATAAAATATTATAAAATTAATAGCAACAATAGCTGACACTACGAAAAAACGAATAAGCCACAGTACTCGCTAGTGTAAATTTTTAATTTTGTACGTTTCAAAAAAAAAATAATAAGCATCGAAAATCTAAAAAAAAAAATGTTTTGAGAATAAAAACGTGTAATGTGCAAATATGGGACTTGACATAAAACGTACGTTGCATAAAACGTATGTTTCATACAGTGCAGCAATCCTTTCATCGAAAGGGGTCAAAATCCAATGCATCCTATAATATCTTTTCAAACTCAATATTTGACTGCAATTTTAAATATACTTATTTTTTGGCTTCCCTTCACAGAGTTCATTTGTGCTTGAATCGCTATTTTAAATGACTTTCGTTTTTTTTTTTTAACAGGTGGAACCCATTATCCGCTGAATCCACAATACCCTTCGTTCCCCAATTCGCAAGGAAAATAAGCTGGTCACTATTAGCTTTTTAACCATTATGTTCAACAATTTTTATCGAGCTTGAGGCCGTTTCTTTCTAATGAAAAAATGTTGTCGAAAAACAATAATTTACCCATAGGTAGAATTTATATCTACTATCTCCACATCTTCACCGCGGTGACTGGGATAGGAGCTATTACACTGAGGGAAAAAAATATTAAAATCAAATAGAAACGTAATTGATCTTACTATAAACGTCAACGAAAGTACTGTATATCGGTAAATATTCAATTCAATTACGCGCATATTAAAATGACCGCGTTCGTACTGAAAAAGCATCCGAGAAGTGAATAATCAAGAAAAAACTAAAAAAGAAAATTTATTTGCATGTTGCCTGCAGCGGAATTCGAACCCGACCATCTCCGGATACCAACAACTTGTGGCAAGCATCTTTGCGCACTCAGCTACATCCAGACATATAAATTTCCTTTCAAATGTTGAATATCCATCAACACCACAGAACGCGATTTGTCCGGATAAACATGTATGTACTATGTATGCACGATTGACAGAAATTCTTGAGAATTCTACTCTCATTCTACCATTCTTGCTATGTGTGTATGTGTGTTTTGTCACCGCTCTCAGTGCGGCGCTCTGCATGCTTGGGGTGCGTATGTACACTTACATATGCATACTCAGATGTGAACAGTCAAATACGTGCGTAATAAATTTTGTATGAAAATATTATTTTTAAATACGAACATTTTTAAACGACAATCAAATATAAAGTATTCATTTTTACTATGCATTATTTCCCTCAGTGTAGAAAGGGCCTCAAACTCAATAAAAATTGTTCCGATTTTAAAATATTTTTCACCATTATTTTAATAAACCAAATGATGGTAAATTGTTATGTATATTTCCCACCAACATGGGGTTAAACCCCCCCCCCCCCCCTTCCTGGTGCGGCCGGCCCTGGTTATGACTATGGCACCACTAACCGAATATAGTGTTGGAAATAAGGTTGGTTCGAACAGCTGCTTTATATGGTTATGTCACCACTAATTTAACCTTAAGGTATAATAAGTCGCGTGTAAGTATTTTTCTAGCAGTGCCGTGGTCTTAGAAATAAATATTGTGGAAGTTTATAAAAGCATAATAGATTTTGATAAAGTTTCGTTATAGCCCTGACAGACATGTGGTTTGTACACCATGGTATGCATACTATGGATTTTGATACTATTTCGATGAGACATACATCGGTGACAGGTAATAAGGTCAATGGAAATAAGGTCAATTGACTTTATTTCCCACCCTGGTGCGAAATAAAGTCAATTGACATTATTACCTTTTCAAAAGCGAAATAAAGTCAACAAAAATTTGGAAATAAAGTCATTGGCGGTATTTCCTCATTCAAATGGAAATAGCGTCAACAATGCTTAAAGTATGACGATTCATAGAAAAAAATTTTGTTCTTACCATAAACATTGCCCCGTAAGTGTTGTTTTTTAATAGATGAAAAAGGTTATTGCCAAATTTTATTAAAAAAAATTCAATTACGAATATGTAAAAACACGATGCGAAAGCTGGAATACGAGAAATATTTGAAGAAAGAGTGTAGAAATGATCCTTAACTTGCAAAAAATGTTTCGTTTCCACAAAAATAAATCGAATACTATTAAATTGAAGAAACAGTCCATGTCCAAAACCCCCGGAGGAACACTGAAAGAATTCTGTGTTTTATTTTAGCATATTTTGAACCAATTCGGAATGTCTAAGGTGGAAAAGAAACCAACTTTTCTATAAGGAAACAATTATAGAAAAAGAATTTTCTTACACTGTATTCATGTCTCCGCCAGCAATTTGTGACGTCATTTAAAACCAGCTAAGGAGAATGACGACACTATTTATTAGATGGCACATTCAACGAGCCAATGTGCCAAAATGCGGGTATAAACAATTATTGATTATTTAATATCGGAACCGAGATCATATAAGTTAATTGATTGGTTTTCACACACTTTTGAAACACAAATTATATGCTTTTTTACTGCAGACAAGTTGTTGCCTCAAAACACAGCAGAAATCTTCCAATTAGGGCTGGCAACTATCCTTAGTTATGAGGTGCCATATTGAGGATAAAAAAGTGCCAAAATGTGCCAAATAGAAAAATAAAAGTGCCAGAAAAGGTGTCATTCCTTTTAATCATTCACATTTAGCAATAAAATAAAGCTACATTTCCCAAACAAAAGTGCAATGATAAAATAAGATAAACCAGTTGAATAGCCTTTATAAATTAGAAATTTTTAGTTGAGAAAAAGAAGTGCACGCAAAGGATTTCACAAAAATGTACAAAAGTCCAATTGTGGCACTTTGTGCCAAATTGAAAAATTAAGTGCCATTTGAAGTAAAATAGGGACAAATGGCACGGTTTGAGCCAAGTTGGCATCCCTGCTTCTAATAACTTACAAATATAAAAATGTGAAATATCGAGGGCTTGAATTCATTAATACCCTCTATCTGCAATTTGCAATTTGTGATTTTAGAAACCACCTGGGACTTATTAACCTGTCGTTATAGAAGGTAGCATTAATATCACTGATGACAGTTAAAGCTTAGGTGGATTTTTATATCAGAATCTCATCCTTGTGAAAAGTGTGCAGATAGAGGGTATTTTATTGAATATAAGCCCTCGATGTTTAAAATATATAAAAATATTATTTCACCGTATACAAAAAAATAAATCTACCTGCGTTACAGCACGGCGGGAGACGGGGAAGGGAGGGCCGGAGGGGGCCGCGGCGTAGCGTGACGTGGTGCGCGCCGGTCGCGCGGGGTACGCGGGGGGCGAGCACGGCGCGCGCGGTGAGGCGCACTGACGCGCGCCGCAGCGAAGCTAAACAAATTTAATGTTTGAAAGGGAAATAATGTCAATGGATTTTATTTCGTTTTTAAAAAGGTTATAATGTCAATTGACTTTATTTCGCACCAGGGTGGGAAATAAAGTCAATTGACCTTATTTCCGTTGATCTTATTACCTGTCACCCACACATCTAGTACGTATACCGATGTTTTGTTTCTTTATCACAACTGATAGCATGTATGTAAGCCATTTTGCTCGCGCTGCTCTTACAGTCGCAATGGCCGAGTGAACAGAGCGCGAGAGTGCCACTAGAGACATCCGAGTTCGAGTCCCCGTACCCGTACCCGTACGGTTTTTTAATGATTTATTTATTTTTAATTCCTTTTTAAATAATCTGAAGATTTTAATGTAAAAAAAAAACATTTTTATTCATTGACTTTTTTTGATTTAAAGTACCTAGGTTTATTTCATAATGAAATTGTTGTTAAACAAATATTTCCTCGCTTCATTTACGCGTTCGTTTAAAAAAAATAGAAAGCAATTCTCTTTTCCCCCATATCTTTC